GCGCCTACATGGCGTATAGCGGGACAGCTGTGCATTTTTCTGTTTGTCGTCTTCACACCAGCAGAGCTTGTGAGCGCCTCGGCTGCTTCTGGCTCCACTTGGGACCCGCCCTACGTTTCTTCACCATCGCAGATAAGACGATCCCCTGTCCAGTGGCCCATCGTCCATAACCTACGATCTCTCCTAGAGAAATTCACCGAAAGTCGTTCCGCTGAAGGTCTAAGAGAACTCTCGTGTAAACAGGCACCGCATTATTTTAATCTGAATTCATGGTTATTGTGGAACCAAACAAATTTGTTATTTTACCGAAATCCCCATTTCTTGTTTCCATATCCTCGTGACTAGGCCATTAATATCCCTTACACTTTCTTATTCGATACTATGTAAGCTCTATAGCTGATAGAAACTTCTACGGAATCTGTAGAACTTTTCTTTTTGGTGTGGCTGTAAAACGCAGTAGGCTGCTTCAGGGAGGTTTCTCAGCTCGAGACGTAAATATAATTATTTTTGCTGTAGTGCTGGTACATAAACAGACACTCCCATTCTGTCTCGCGAAGTGTGACTTTGCCATCTAAACTCAGTAGAGTGTATTCTGCTTTTTACTCTAATTAACGAGAGTAAATAGCTGTGCTCACCGCCAACATCTGCTTCGGGTTTTCCTTCCGACTTGTATTCAAGCGAAATACATTATTCTGTCCTACCAAACAAACGGAAATGATAGCTCGGTGTTAATTATTAACTCCTTTGTGTAGTCTGTGTCAGTTTGCGCCATTGTTTACGTTCTGATTTGAGTGGACCAGCTTCTGTGGATGAAGGTTGTCGTTTTTTGTTTTAAATACGAAATGTTCGCTACCGGAGTTGAGAGATGGTGTACGTACGTGGGGCAGAACATATTACTGCAGCAGTGAATAGTGTAATTTTACATAGTTTACTGACATTTCTGACGTTGGTGTTAGAAACCTTGACTGGTGTGAAATTATTAAGTAATGTGAAACGTAACAGAAGCTAATTAATAAAGATACATCATTGTTTGCCGTTTGTGATGGAACAAAGCTGTATACTAGGCTCTTACTTTGCATTTTACATATAGTTATTGATCTCCGTGCCTTCATGTGATTTCGAGGCAGTTTGTCTTTAAGAGGTTTGGGCATTTTCGTGATAAAACGTTTTACCAAAATTCAAGATGCTCTACTCTTGTAGATAGGCTTGCTATTCATATTATCAGATCATGCTACTGCGAACATAAAAATTTCTCTTAATTAATATATATATATATATATATATATATATATATACACGCACGCACGCACACAAATACACAAAACGTTTATAT